ACACTAATACTTGACTTGGAATTTACTCAAAACAAACAGGTGAATTTGTTCAACAAAATCACTTAGACTTTGCTAAGCAGTTGAAGTCAAGTGTTGTGGAGTTTTCAGCATTTAATAAATAGATAATATGCTTTTAATTCAAGTTAATATATTGATGACCTTATTTACAATAGTGTCAAAATTGTTATTTTTATATATAATCTTTGATATAGATGTAGATGATTCTCCTTTGTCAACTTCTTTTAGTATCTTTAGAAATTTTTTTTTCGTGTTTTTTAGTTGTTTTTTTTTTTTTGTTTTTTTTGTTTTTTGTTTTAGCAGTTTTGATATTTCATCTTAATAAATAGAATTTAATTTGAATTTAATTAAAAGTGAATAAATTGAATTCTCATTATTTAATTGAAACAGAGTTTGTAAAAATAACATAATTAAAGTTATCAGTGAAATTAAAACAAAATTGAAGATATTTGTGAAAATAACTTGTTTTTTGAATCATAATTAAAAAAAAGTATGGTTTTGTTTTCAAACGCTAGAGTTTATTGAAGTTTTTAAAATTTTTCAAGTTTTATTATTGTATTATATGTACTTATTATTATAAATTTTATTATTGTATTACATGCAGCCTTCTGTTTGGAAAATCTGTCCATGGCTTTTTCAAAGTTTGAGTTTCTACTGTATATACAAAATCAAAATATTTTCTGCAAAGTATTTTAATTTATTGTTGTTACATAATAGATTTTTGTAATGATCAAGTAGTTGGGAATAAGAGAGAGTTACATATAATTACAAGAATTAAATGGAAATTTAGAGGATAGATGAATGGTACCATGAGTAGGATTGCATTGTGTTAAAATCAAAAATTCTAGAAATATTTGATAAAGCAGATAAATGTTATGTTACAGACAAATGGGTATAAATCGAGTGTTTGTCATTTTTATTAAATAATTGCAACATAATAATTAGTATAATAAATAATAAAAATTGAAATAGTAATAAATAAATTTGAAAGGCTTGCTCATTGAAAGGACAGTTTAGATGTTTATTATATACTCAATTAAAGCTTTTCAAATTGTTAATCATCATAAAAATTAAAAACCTGTTGAGAAACCTGAAATAGTACAATTCGTTATGTAATGAAGTACATGTGGCCAACTTTTTTCCTACTACTCTGTGTTAAAAATTCATTAATTTTTGTAAGGATATCTTTTTCAAAATTTTAAACTATGTAATGTGAGTGCTAAAGTTTTACAATCAAGTTGAAAAAATAGGTGTAATAAGCGATAAAAATATGTGTGAATTATACTTTTGTTATTAATTTTCTTTTCAAAATTTAAGATATCCTAATACTCTTGATCCTTGTCCTCGCTTTTCTAAATTGTTTTTTTTATGATGGATTTTTTTCAACACATGATTGGATTTTTGTTGTTGTTGTTATTTTTTTGTGGTGCTTTCTATTATTTTCAGTATAGTATGTTGAGTTTTATTGTTTACAGGTAAATAATTAAGAAGAGTTAAATGCTGAAAATAATTTATTCATAATATATTGTTTCCAGTTTAGGATGCTGAATGCTGGATCTTCTTTACTCAATGCATGAGTTTTGCTTGAGTCTCTGTTTTTATGACTAGGCAACTCATTCTATTATCTCCTAATGAGGGTACAGTTCTAAAAGTCAGTTTAGTGGTTATGAGGCTGCCAGGTAGTCAGGTCTCCCAAACTCTGTGGTAGCTCTCAGAGAGGCTAATTCCATCAATAGCAAATTATTAACAGTGCCATGTTGCGTATGGATGGTGTCCCTGTTCGTACTTTTGATGTGCATTGTCAAGGCCACATTTGTAGCCCTTCATTATGGCTTAGGATTTATTAATGGTAATAAGGCAATTTTTTGGACTATCAAATAGTGTACTGAGTACTCTCTGTGTTTTGAGTCAAGTTCTTTAACAAATTTAAAAATGACTGAAGTACCAAAAACTATAAAACACAAAAACCATTGTCATCAGCAGTTTCTCTAAACCTATCATTCACTAATATTCATGGTCTTCGAAGTAACTTTTCTTCTGTTGAGTCTAATCTCTTGCAAAGTTCACCAGACCTACTTGCGCTTTGTGAGACCAATTTTAGTTTGGCTGTCTCATCCTGTGATCTTAGTGTTGATGGTTATGTTCCTTTAATTCGTAAAGACTCCAATAGTCACATGCTTAACCTGGGCATTTACATTCGTAAGAATTCACCAATTTGTTGGGAAACTAGGTTTAAATCCGCAGACTATTCTTTTATGTGCTTTCATTTAGCAGCACTTCACTCTATCATCTTTCTCTGTGTTTTATTTTGCTCTCTTTTATCTCAAGACTTTCTTCCATGTTATTACTGATCAAATTGACCAAGCCCTTTCTCTTTATACTTCAGCAAACAATCGTTGTTTATAGTGTTTTTAATGCTCATCACACTGAATAGTCTTGGCTCTAGTGTCAGTGACTCTGCAGGTGTCGTGTGTGGCCGTGGCACAGTGGTTAGAGCGCTTGCTTTATAAGCAAGAGATCCAGGTTCGAAACAAGCTTTGGACATATTTCATTTCACGGTAAAGAAGGAGGCGTGAACTTCCTGGTTAAATGCACTTCCGCGGTGCTCTGTGACAAGACCGTTAGGTCTTCTTGAAGCACCTAAATGATAAAAAAAGTTGTAAACTTTCCAACTTCCAGACAATCTAAATTATTTACCTTCTCTACTCTACTTGTTTCATGTTTCTGATCCTATTCAGTGCTCAATTTCTCCACATTCACCCTTTGATGCTTCTGATTATGGTTTAATCTCTCTAAAACTCTAAATCTCATTCTTCTTCATCATCAGAATCCCCCTATCATTGTACCTCTTTGTGGTGGCTCTTGGCTAGACATCTTTCGTAGTCCTGCTAACAAGCATGCTTCTTACATAACTTCTTAAATTCTGGCTCGCATGGAATCTTTTATACCCTTTCGAGGGTTCCAAATCAAGCCTCACTTTTCTCCATGGTTTTCCTCTCATTGTGGTGTTGCATTTTCCAGTTGTAACCATTACTTTTATATCGCCAAAACAATTCTCCAGAAAACAGACGTCTGTTTATCATTACTAGAAACTATTGAAGAAAGGTTTTGTTTAATGCTAAACCCCGCTATTCTCAGGTAATGAAATCTTGTATTTTATCTCAAAAATTAGGCTCTTGTGACTTCTGGAGAATCTTTAACAGTCTCTATAATAATGACAAATTTATTATTTCACCTCTCTTGTATGATTTAGATTTTTCATCTCACCTAAAGACAAAGCTGAATTGTTTGTATAAACTCTTTTACAGCTTGTGGCCCAGACAACATATCTGTTATAGTCTTGCAGAAGTGTTTTCCGGCGCTGTCATCTATACTTTAAAAACTATTTAATAAGTGTTTATCAGAGTCTTGTTTTCCAGCCTGCTGGAAAACAACATTTGTTATCTCTATTTTTTAAAAATCTTGATAGCTGTATGACTTGTCTAACTATCGCCACATTAGTCTTTTTACTATCATAAGCAAGATTTTTGAGTCTTTAATTAACCAAGTTTCTCATCCTGAATCTAATTCTGACCTTATTTTTTGATTATCAATATTTTTGTTTTTGATTTTGGTTTTCTTGTTCTACTGCTGATTTGTTAATAACCCATAGGTTTTATCGTGCATTAGATAGATGTGAAGGTTAAGGTTATTGCTCTTGATATTTCTAAAGCCTTCCATAAAATTTGGCACGCTAGTCTTCTCTAAAAGCTTTCTTTTTATGGTATTTGGTAATATCTTTAAGACTATTGAATCCTTCCTTACCAATTGTAGAAGTTGTCCTCGATGGACAGCACTCTTTTTTATATCCTGTAACTTCAGGGATTCCTCAAGATACTATCTTTTCCCCTTTACTCTTTTAATTTATATTAATTTTAATTTATATTAATTTTCTTTTACTTTTAATTTGCATTAACGATCTCCCAAAAATTATCACATATAAGGTGACATTGTTTCCTACCATTTATCCTTGCCTTGATAAGAAGCCAAGGGACCATTTGAGCTTGAAAAAGATCTCACTTCTGCTACAGTATGGGGCAGTGGCTGGTGAATTTATCTCAGATAAAACTCAAATTTTTTTAGCTAATTGTAATGGCAGTAATCTAGAACTTCCTATATTTATGAACAGTAATGTACTCGATGAGTCATCTACCCTTTGTCTTTTAGGATCAACTCTTACTTCTGATCTTTTTTGGAAACCATGCATCTAATCGATTTCAAAATTAACATCTGCTAAGATTGCATCTCTATATTGTGCTTGCCACTTTTTTACTCCAGATTCCATTCTTTATCTCTATAAATCACAAATCTGTCCTTGTATGGAATACTGTTGCCATATTTGGGGCAGATCCTCCAATCATGCCCATTCTCTTTTAGTCAAGTTGCAAAAATGCATTGTAAACATAGTTGGACCTGCTCTTGCAGCCAACCTCTAACCATTATCATATCATCATAATGCTGTTTCTCTTTTTTCTATAAATACTGAAATGGGCACTACTCTAAAGAGCTGGCGCCTCTTGTGCCATCTACTAAAGTTCATTCTCTTGTCACTTGTTATTCAATTAAGTCTTATCCTTTTACTGTGACTGTTCCTAAGTGCTCCAAATATTCTTATTTGTCCAGTTTTTTTCCTCGAGCATAATTTCTTTGGAGTTCACTTCCTCTTGTTTTTCTGATTCATATAATTTGCAACATTTTAAGTTGTGTTTTAATCGTAATCTTGCTTTATAAACTTCATCTTTTCTCTTCCAGTATCTTCTTACTCTAATAGTATTTGCTTGCAGCCTTGTTGGAGGTGAAGATGTTGAAAAAAAGTGCAAATTGTATAAAACTCAATTACTGTAATATAAAAGAACTTTTATGGGGGAGTTGTTTTACAAAGCAGTATTGAAATACTTAACAAACTTGTTGTAAAACAATACTGCTTTGTTCTTATTTTATAGGTTATTCACAGCAGATTATCTGGTTGCAAACACGATTAAGGAGAGCTGCAGAGGGGAGAGAAGAAGATGGTTTGAATAATTTAAAAAAAAATTAATGTTTTTACTTTATTTTTTCTACTTAACTATAATAAATGTTAATTGCTTTAAATTTTTCTTTTAAAGATGATTGGTACCCAGTTCCTCTGTTAACTTTGACTGAAGATGACGAAAAGGCTTTGTGTTGTGAAGATTTTCAAATTTTGTTAAAAATGATGGGTCTAAAACCCCCAGCTGATGAGCAGGTATTTTTTTTTAATTGTCATAATTAAAGTATAATAATGAAATTATTTGTTTATAAGTTCAATAATCATATTTTAAGGAAGCTTTTTGGAGAGTTCCCGAAAGTTTGAGCCCTTTGGATTTAAAGCATTTTGCTGACATTCTTGAAAAAACAAGTAAGTTTTTTTCACTTTAACTTTTTTAGAGTTTTATTATTTTAGTTGATTATTATTGATTTTGAAACAATTTTACAATAAGGTGTTTTAAGCAATGGAAGTGAATATCAAAAAAGTGGAGAACTCGAGAGGTAAAAGATTTTTTTAATTAATTAAATATTATTTTTATATTGTTAAAAAAATATTTTTTAGATCTTGTTGTAACATTATCTTCTTTTGCATCTCCTCTATTGTTCCCCACTAAATTATTGAAAAAATAAATTTTTGATCTTCTAAGATTGTTTTCTAAGGCATCTCGTTTTATTATTCTATACAATGAACTTTACAGACTGAAAATAATGCATATTGATAGATAGGACAAACTCAGTATTAAATATGGCATTTCTACAAGTGAAATTTATCAGTTACACTTTTTAACAAATTTTACACTATAACCAGCCATTTTTGAAACAAATTATTTTATAATGAAGTTTTATATTATAAAAAAATTGTGGTGTGTTTAAAAAGTTTTTCAAGTGTATAAAAAAGTTTTTTAAAGAGTCAAAAAAAATTGCTGTCAGGTTGTGAATTACAAAAAATTATTGTCAGGGTTGTAAATCACAAAATAAAGTTTGTCAGATTGTGAATCACATACAAATTATGACAAAAATAATTTAGGCCTTAGAAAAAAACCAAAATATTGAGATTTTAAAATTATTACAATGAATGCAACAGATTTTTTTATCAATTTATGATTGAATAATTATTTTTTTTAACTCTATTTTAGAATATTTAAGTTATTCAAGTTTTTTATTGCCACTTATTTTTATTGCTACTATAAGTGCTGAATGATTTCATTTCTAGTTTGTATTGATTTATTTTCTTATTCACAAAATGAAATCTTTTTTTTTTTTTTTTTTGTTTGGTTATAATACTAGTATTTAATTTCATAGTCGATTAGTATAAATTTTCTTTTCAACACATTTCATAGTTAGGTGATTGGTATCAATTTTCTTTTCAATATATTTTCTAATTCTGTTTATTCTTAAAAGTTGTTAGAATTTGAGAAGACAATTTTTTCTTATAAGCTTGAAGCTCACTTCATCATACATAAATATAAACTTTTTTTGAACTTTTAATAAATCTCTTCACACCATTAACACCGCCCAAAACTCTAATGAGTTGATACACTTGACCTCCTCCTAAAAAGTTAAATTTTTAAAAAGTTTAGGAAATTTATCTGTTTATTGAACAAATTAAACCAAAAAGGTTTAAAAATGTCATCAAGTTAGTTAAAGTTACAATAATAATAAAAAAAAGTTATTATAAATACTGTATACTAATACAGATAAAGTTAATGTTTATTGGTTGGTTTGATGGGTTTATTATCCATCCATCATTTTTTCTTTCAATTATCCCTTTATTTGCAAGATTGCCTGTCTAAATCCAAACCCTCAGTTGATGTATGTACACTCACCACACCTATCCTTATTTAAGCTAGTTGATGTATGTAGGCTCAGCTGCGACTATCAATTTATATCCCAATTTACCAAACCCTATAAATTCGAGTTAGCAGATGCAAAGAGCCCTCAACGTCATAAAAGGGGTTTAACAAGAGAACCAATCACTAATTAAATATGAAGAGGATTTTTATAAAATACTTATTTTTATAAAATACTTAGTTTTATAAAACTCTTGGAGTTTGGTTTTTAAATCATCATAAAAAATCATAAAAACCAAAATAATAATACTTATTAACAAATTTTTTGTCAATGCATATGACAGTGTGAATTTCATCAATTAATCGATGTGAACATTGATAATGTAAACATTATCAAATTGTTGATAAAATATATTTCTTGCACTCCTACTAACATTACTTTTATAAAGTTTCAAAGTTTTTTTCTGAAACCATTTTTCTTTTCCATTTTTCTCCAAAACATGATTTGCTTTTTGCATGTTGTAGCTCAATTAATCATTTTGGCAAAATAAGATCCATTCTTAATTAATTTTACAAATTTTTATTTTTAAAAAATAACATGTTTCATGCATGATTGATTCATTTTGTGAAACTTGCTGAAAAAAATTTAATTCTATGAATCTATTATGATATAAGTGCATTTTTTTGTGAATGTTGCTAGCTTGAGTAAGTTTGTGTTGTTAAGTGATTTCTGTGAGTTTTGCTGAGTCATAAGGTTTGTTTTATTTTCGTTCTGACTTCTTAAACTTTTTTTAAATTTTTACCGTTGTTACAAAAAAACAAAAAACAGTAAAAATTGTTACTTTTTACTGTTTTTTGTTTTTTTGCTTTAGTTAGCTCTTTATATTTTATATTTTCATTCAGCATTGAAAATCCAAATGAAATAAAGACAAGTAAATCTATAAAACGAGAACACTCACCAACTGATAGTGAAGACGATAGTTATGAAAAATACATTAAAACAAATCGAAAAATTAAAAGAAACAAAATCATTGATGAGGTAAATTTTTCTCACTATCTTTACTTATTAGTCAGAATCAAGAATTTTTAACCAGATCATTTTTCATCACTTGCAATTAACATATGCATGTTAATTGCAAGTGATGAAAAAAGTCATATATTGACTTTTTTCATCACTTGCAATTAACATATGCATGTTAATTGCAAGTGATGAAAAAAGTCATATATTGACTTTTTTCATCACTTGCAATTAACATGCATATGTTAATAGCAATGAATGTTTATTTTATAATGCATTCAAAGTCAAAAAGTTGTTAAAATATGTGTGAAAAATGTGAAAATTTTTTTAGTAGGTTTTTTTACATTATTAGGACATAATTTTTACAATTTTTCATGATAATTTTAATAAATTTACCTCACGTTTTAATATGTTAAGATGAAATTAATTTAAATGCTTTATTACTTTAACTAACTCTTTATAAAAAGATTTTCTGACCCATGCCCCCTCCTCTCCCTTTCTCCCCCGGTTGCCGCATGTTTTCAAAGGTTGACTTGACTAAATTTTGAAAATTTAACAAAAACATTACAGAGGTAAATCCTGAGGCTTTAGAGATCTATTGCTAGAAGACAGCCCAACCTTTTGTTCATCTATACCCCTGGTATTATATTCCGTAGGGATTACACAAACTGTTAATACACTCTCACCAGGTAGTTTGCAACTAAAGCTTACCTATTGGTATGCTTTCTAAAGAAGCACAGGAAAGCAGAAACAAAGATGTAAAAAACTTCAGAGAATTATTTATGCTTAAAGTTTCTAGAAAAAAACAGGATTTAATAAGAAGATTTCTGTGTAGCTCATATCAAATGATCAGCTTGCTGCGAAGCAGAAAGAAAGTGATTTTGCTTTTTCCCAAAGAAGTTAAACTTCTACTTATAAAATATTTTTAACTTGTTTTCACAATTCAAAATATTTTTATTTTTCTATATAGGATGCTAAGTAAATGTAATTTGACCCTTAAAAACAATATAGTTCCGATAGTGCAAATATGATTTTGTTGTTGTTACAGATTTTACACTTTCAGACCTTGTGCAAACTTCAAATTTAAGTATATTTATGCTAATGTTAAATGATAATACTTTCCAAAAAATTGCAGTAATTGGAGTCTGGGAACAAAAATACCCCAAAATGTTATTCCCCTTACCCCAACAGTGAGTGCAATGAGTTTGTTAATTATATTATGCTAAATTTGACTACATTGGCTTGTTTTAAGTTTCATGTAATAATATTTTAGATTTTGAAAGTTTAGACTAAATAAATTTTCAACCCTCCCAAAGTGAGAGGGTTGTAAATTTTTTATGGTCATATTTTTTTATCTCTTAAATATTATACCCTGAAATTTAAAACCTGCTAATTTAGTTGAATTTAGTATAAAATTGTAACAAAAATTAAATCATTAACTCATTTCCCATCACTTTTGGGGTGATGGGAATAACTTTTTGGGGTATTTTTATTCCCAGGCTCCAATCACTAGAATTTTTGTAAAAGGTTATTATTTGACATAACCATAAACATACTTAAGTTTGGAGTTTGCACAACATCTGAAAATGTCAAATCTGCAAAACCAAAAAATCAAAATTGCCCCACTAAACAGCCCATAGTTCAGATTGGTCAAAAACTAATTTTGATGTCAGAAATGTATTTCTTGACCCCAAAAACGTATGAGTAGATGTATAATATGATTATATTTAGACGTTTTCTATTTTTGCTATTTTTTGTTATATTCTAGCTTACGATGCATAACCAAAATTTAATTGACAAAAATTTTAAGTATGAAATTTTGCAAATGTAGGAGTTATAGATGCACTAGTAGTATTAGAATCCAATGTAGCTGCTTTTTTTCACCACATACAGATATAGTTTCTCTTAGTTGAAGAAAATATAATTTTTTTCACATTACACATTCTACTAATTTAAAGTTTATAGGAGCTTTAGTTTATTAAAAGTTACGAAGTTTATGAATTGAGTGATCTAAGGTGCCACAAAAAACACTCAAACCTATATAATGTATATATCTTATACTTCATACTTAGGTCTAAATAATTTGTCACTGATGCATTTATTGATGAAAAACTGGTTTATTGATAGTAGCTACAAAGATGTTGCCACTTTAGTGAAATAATTTTTCATATTTTGCATCCAGACATTTTAAGCACTTTATGAACAACTACCAACAAACTGTAAATATTTAGTGTTTGAAATTCACATTTAAAAAAATAAATTAAAGTTTCACTGATAGGTTGTTAAAATGCTTTACCGGTCATTCTTCCCAATAAATTTCACATTTTCATATTCCAATTTTTTTTTTTTCAGTTTTGAAGAGTTCATTGATTTATCTCCAGGTTCAGCAATTATGTTTGTTGTTAAAATGTTTATAACAACATCTTCTTTGCTCGAGTGTCTCTTCAAACCCTTTAAAGCAGCTATGCAATTGATTTTTATTTAGCATATGGTCATATTATTCATTATCAAATAACTGTTTGCTGAAGCAAAGTTTTTTACATGGGCTTGCAATAAAGGTTGCTGCATTTTTACAATTTTGCAAGTTTACACCACCATGTTGGTATAAGAATATAGGCAATAAGGAAATATGATACACTAGAACTCCATCATGCACTGCACAAAAATTGTAGCTTATGCCACTTATTTTTTAGTAATTTGTGATTATTCTTGATATAACAAAAGCTTCACATAACTCAATGAAAGCTTATTTTATTCTTGGGCTTATGTTTATATTTATAATTTTTTTGAAGATATTTATAATTATTAATTGTGCGTGTTTTAAAACAAGATCTAGGATATGATGCTGACATCCTAATATTGTGGTTTAGTAAAGTTTCTGATTTCCATTTCATTTTATATTTTTAATATTATACTATTGAATTTTCCTGTGTTAACTGCTGTTGTCATTTTGCTGTGTTTTTATCATTTTGCTATGTTTTTCCTGTGTGTTTGTCATTTTGCTGTGTTAACTGCTGTTGTCATTTTTATTTTTATTTTTTTATTATTTTTTTTTTTTTGAGCTTTAAAAATGTTATTAAATGTGGGCTATTCTGTTAATAACTATCTTCTTGCTTTCTACTTGCCTTATAGTTAATTTCTTTATTCTTGTCTGACTTACAGTTTCATTACCTTGTTTGTATAACTTTTTACAGATTCTAGCATTTATTTATACTTTAAATTTCATAATCATAAGATTAAATGCTAGAAATTAAATGCAGACATACAAATCTAAAAAAAATAAATGATAAAATATATTAGTAGTATTCCATGTTTTAAAACTATATCAACAGGGTTCCCACTCCTCCTTAAAAACCTTAAATATCTTTTCTTTTTTTTTTTTTTAAAAAAAACCTCCTTAAAAGTCCTCCAAAAAACCTAAGAAGTTAAAGTTTGACTGCTCTCCTAAATTTCTCCTTATTTTATTTATTTATTTTTCTTTAATCATCTAGAAAATTTTAGTAAAGTGAATGGATTATACTTATTAATAAAGAAGAAAATATATAGCTCTTTAATAGTTTGCAAACCTGTATTTCTATTGTATATATATTTATATTTATATAAAACTAAAGTAATATATTAATTTATAATAATTTTTCTGTTATATTTAAATTTTGTTGAAAAAAGTAAGATTCTGTTTTTAATATAACTGTTTTTTCCTTAATTCTCTTTACTTTTTTTTTCCTAAAGTTGTCGTTCGCAATCAAATCTCCTTAAATATTAGGAAAATATCTCCTTAAATCTCCTTAAAATCCTTACTTTTAGCGTCAGTTTTAATAGTGGTAACCCTGATCAAGAAAAACACTTTTCTTTCACAATTTTTTATATTATAGTAAGTCTAAAATTAATTACAGGCATTCAAATTGCAACAATTACATTTTATAAAATTTTTTGCATATATATAAATATTTACATTTCTTATAAAATGTACTATAGTAAATTTTATAAGAAAAACAATTTTCTTATAAAATTTACTATAATAAAGTAAGTCTAACATTAATAACAAAGCCAGATATAAATGTTTTTTTTTTTTTCTCTGCTTGCCTATTGCTTTATAGGCTAGCTGCAACTATTTCTTGGATTCTGACCCATAGAGCTAATCTCTATTTTGCTGTACAACTAGTAGAAGTTCTTGACAATCATCCTCATTGTGAACATTGATACAATTCTGATACAAGTTTTACATCCCTTTCAGAACTATTTTTCACTACTTCAAGTTTACTTACAAAATTGGAAAAAATTTTGAACTGGTCAATATAGCACCACATAGGAGGAGCAGGACAGTTTAATCAAAGTTTTCATCTAAATACCTGGTATGTCTTTCCATTGACATATTGTTCTTTCAATTTCATTTAGAACTGTTTTGGAACCATAGTCATGTTTCTCCACATATTTTTTGTTTTGTACCATTTGTCAATAGGCTTTTACATTTTGGAATGGTGTAGCTGAGGGCAATAAAGTTCTCAGAAACCAGACCATGTATAAAATTGAGATAAATTCTGCCATTGACTTCAACATTTTCTTTTGGGCAGCAGTCAAATCATAGGACAGCTGTGTACTCAATATCTGTCTCTTCAAATAGTAAATGGCTTTTGACTGTAATTTTGAGCAGGAAGTTTGAAAAGAATTTCAGGACACAGATACATCAGGGTAAGTTCCATTAACTCTCTATAACCCCCTCTGGGAAATATGCCAGTGTTCTGTGCATCCTTGCTAAACTGGATAGTTTTCTCAATCTGGGTTTTCTAGAGCTGCTGTTTTGTCTAAGTTGATTTGCTCCCAGAAATGTTGGAGATGTAGCTCATATATATTCCTCCTGCAGACAAGCTCTAATAAAATGAATTCCTGTCTTTGATTGAACCAAATATTGGTTGCTGAAAGCCTTCCAGTATTTGAGGCAGTTGTTTCAAAGCATAATCTGTTCACATCATCACTTGTTCCATAGTCTTCTTGTAAATTATCCCAAGCTTCATATTGAGCAG